GTGTCTGTCTCACACTGATGTTTCTCTCTCTCTCTCCCTCCCACTCTATCTGAAAACCAATTGAAAAATATCCTCCAGTGAGGATTTAAAAAAAGGGAGAGAGAGAACTATAGTTTAACATTTTCTAGGTCTGTTCCCTGCAGATCGATGGAGAAGGAACTGGACAAAAGCATTTCAAATGCATGCCCAGTAAGGTCTGGTTGATGTGGGAAGGTGCTTGCTTGTCAATCATGCCTGGAAACAGGTAACTGGCCATAAGAGGCATGGCTATTGGAAGGGTGCAAAATTTGAGATACTTAAGTCCTGAACAAAGAGAGTTCCCTCTTTTGGCTCTCTTGTGTGCTGGGCTCCTGCTCTTTTGTTGCAAGGGCATGTTCCCCTGCATTCTCCCCACGGCTCATGGCCATGTGAGACCCACACAGTGGGCTAATAGATTGTGATTAGCCTGATGCCTGATGCTACATGGAACTCAACTCTACCATGAAATGGAAACTTTGGACACTGGCTTTGCTTTTAGCTCTGAATTCCCAGCTCCTCCTTTGCCAGGACCAGAAATGGGAAATGGGACTTTAGAAATTAAGGGATATAACTCAATGCAAATAAAAATCACTCATTTTCCCATGGAAGATTTAGAAAATTCTTTTTCTCAAAGTATCGCAAGAACCCCATTCCCACTAGCCATGGAGAATCCACCCATGCATTTCTCTGGTAACAATCTTGCCTATAATTCTTATGGCTTATCCTTTACCTCTACCCACTGGCTGGGAGGGAAGTAAAGCTTAGTACTTTCAGATAGAGTTCAGTCTTTGTTGGATAAGTGTGCTTGCTCCATCTCTCAGATGATGGTCCTCCTCCTTCTTCTCTCCCAAAGACGGTACTGTCTATATAGGATGAGGGATGGCTTTTAACACCTTGTGGGCAGGGAGAAGAGAGTGATGGGTCTCTAGTCCCTAGGGTCTTATGCTTTTACCTGCCTAGCTATTAGGGGCCTTGCTGGCCTCCCATGCTAGTGTCTGCATCCGGTGAGCTTCAGGTCTGTTCTCCTTGTGCAAGCAGGGCATTCTGTAGTTCCTCCTAGCAGATGAAGGCTTGGGTTGGCTTCCATTAGAGTGGAGAGAACTCTGGGATCTGGCTATGACCTGTTCAGACCTGGCCCCAGTGATCTGCTCTGTGCCTCACTTCCCTTCCAGAGCCGCCCCCTTTAGAAGCTCCCTAGCCAGATTTTCAGGTACTTCTGGGTTTCTAGAAACTTAAGCACTTCCTCTACTTAATCTCTCTGTATCTCAGGTAACAACGAAGTGGTCACCCCAGCCTGGACTGTGGCACACAGTGGCCTCCTCTGGAACACTGAATGCCAGGGGTGGGAAGTGGAGGCAAGAGCTCCTTTCTGCCCTCACTGTCATTTTCACTTATTAAAATCTCATCTCACTGTCGTGTCTCTTTCTATGCTTCATCTTTCCGCAATGACCCCAGAACTGGAAAGGGTTTCCCTCTTGTTTCTGTTCTCTCTTATGTGGAACTCTGTGGTGTCCCTGGAAATTCTCTCTCCATGCACTAAAGAAAAGTTAGGGCAATTTAGACAGAATTTTCTCAAGAGATAGCCTGGGTCTTGCTACAAATTCCTGTTTTTGAATGTTAAAAACTGAATATTAATGACCTCAGTCATTTTCTTGCATTCCTTCTGGAATGAACCTTAATCTCACCCCAGACAGAGAGATGCCTCAAGCAGACAGGTGAAGACATGTTTTCAGATAGGCAAAAGAGGAAATGTGGTAATACATTGTGAAGTACTTCCGAAAGTTCTTGAACATACCCAATTACGTGTGCCAGAGCCCTGACTGAGAAAGAATGTGGCCCATTTAAGGAACTGAAAGAAGCTGACCTGGCTCTCAGGAGAGAAGGTACCTGATGAGCTCCAAGGGGTGTAAAAATGGTATCGATCAATCACAGAGTGCTTACTCTGTGCCAGCACAGAGGAACATAAGGAAAGTCTTTCCTAATGGCTAGACCCAAAGCCATTGAACCGACTAAGAAGCAAGAGGGTGGCAGGATCAGATGTGCTTTCTGAAAGGTCCCCTCTGGTTGCAGTGCAGAGAATGGACCGAAAGGAGGGGAATGGGACTAGAAGCGGGGTGTACAGTAAAGTGTAACTACAGGAACCCAGGTCAGAGATGATGGCTAGGACTACGGAGGAGCAATTAAGATGGAATGTGAGGATATATATTAGAGAGACAGAGCTTTCTGACTAATTGTAGACATGGGAGGTAAAGATAAGGGAAGTCTCAAGGATGAGCCTAAGATTTCTGGCTTGAACAACAAAATAGACACTAGTGAGTCTCTAAGACAAGAAACTCTTGTTTTCAGTTTGGTTCGGCAGTCTGTAACTTACCACATCTTATTCCTTCGGCCCTTGAGAAGTTTCATTATGCATCACCTCCATCCTCAGGTTTTTATTAATCTGAAAACCTACACATCATTTTAGGTGAACCGAATCCATGTTTTCTTACCACAGAGAACAGAAATATATGTATTATCTTATATACACAAAAATACAGTATTTTACATCAGACCTAGGAACACATTTAATAGGCAGGGGCCCTCTTTCCTAATTGTTGCTAAAAGTTAAGTCTTTAAGTCAATTAATCTAACACCAAAGCTCTCATTTTGTCAGCTTTCCAACGTATGACTACTTTATAAAGATATCAGATGAAAGGTTGCCTTATGTATCATCTAGGTATATGTTTTTAATCTAGATTTCTTTGGAGGGTATCCCAGAAGTTGCATTTCTCAAGCCTACTGGTTTATCGTTTTTTGTTTTTGTTTTTGTTTTTTCATGACTGAGAAGCTGTTTACTTGTACTTGTTTTTAACAATTTTCATCTAGGCTATATATGTTGTAACCATTTTTTTTTTTTTGAGCAAGAAAATTTATGAGGTCTCCAGTTAAATATTAAGGTCTCCATTTGGGTCTGTTAGAGTGGAGCCAAAATTATTTTCTGAGGAAAGTCAGGGCCCTGCCTATGGAACAGTGAAGGGCATTGTGCACACATGCGCACCTGTGTGTGTGTGTGTGTGTGTTAATTTCAGGCCCAAGTTTTTATTAGTATCATAACCCAGGAAGATTGTTCAAACACACAGCTTTGAACTCAACTGGCAACACAGACTAGCTGTGTCCCATTTATTAATCATAAATTCACTGTCAAGCTCACTGTTGCTGGGTAGTTTTCAAAAGCTCAGCTGAGGAAAAACAAAAGGCACACAGATGGTTGTCTGAAGGATATACTACCCATCCATTCCTCTCTAGAGATACTCTGAAATTCATTCCTGGGTTCAACCAGAGAGCTGCATATGTGGATATTAAAACAATTAACTTTTAAAATTAATCAATGAACTTCTCTATGTTTCAGTTTCCAAAATGCAAAACGAAGGACGGTTCATTCATTCAACAATCACTCACTGAACTACTAATATCCAGAGCATTAGAATAAGACATAGTCCCACCACTCAAAGACCCATCTATCTACCTTTCTAAGTATCTTTTTCTATGAGCAGAAAGATAATTATAATTCTATGTGATAAACACAGAAATGGAGAGATGTACTGGGTGCAGGAGCATAAGGAAGGACACCTTACCCAGCCAGTGTGCAAGGGAAGGGGAAGGGAAGAATGGCTGAAGATGTCTTAGAATAATTATGTCCACCCTCACAGGACTAGGGTGTGAGTAGGGAACAAATGGAAGGAGGTGTGGAAGAGCACTGTCAAAACTACTGCCCAGAGGAAGAATAGAGTATCAACCAGGCTGCACTTGGCTGTGATGTAGAAACTCCAAATTGGCTTATTAGTAAATATGGAAATTTATTATCTCGTGAAAAAAGGTCCAGAACTAGGGCAGGCCCCAAAGTTGGTTGATTTTGTGGCTCGATTACATCATCAAAGACCCTGCTGTCCCTCAGCTCTGCCTTTCTCAGGGATGGCTTTCCACTTGGAATGAAATACTTCAGGACAGGGCAAGGTGACTATAGTGTTTCAGAAATTACAGTAAAACGAGTGTTCCAGGGCAAAAAGACACCATCTTTCCCATGCTTCCTTCTTAGGAGCGAAGGGATTTTTCCAGAGACCTCTGAAGATTTCCCTTCACATTTCAAAATCCTGGATTTGGGCACATGCCCATTTGTAAAGCAATTGACTAATAAGGGCTGTGGGATTAGGCTTAGAGTAATCATATGGGGTGCCATCTATTTTAGAGAATCATACACACACACTGCTACTGTGGTGTAATGGGCATAAGCCAGCTGACTTAAAAGCTACTCTTTCTTCTAGGAATCTCTCATTTGCTACATTTTTTAAAAAAATGTATGTACTTTCTAACCACAAGAAGATAACAGCTTTTTCTCTACTTTCAATGCCTACAAAGCAGGGCTGATGGAAAAGGATCAAGTCATATTGATGCTGTTGTAATAATCTGGTCATTATTTAACAAGAAAGGAATAAAGGGGAGACTAGCTAATTTAACATTCTAGGACTGTTCCCCATTAATTGATGGGAAAAGGGACTGGACAAAGGCAGTTTAGATGCATGCCCAGTAAGGTCTGGGTGATGCGAGAAGGTGCTTACCTGCCTGTCTGTCACAACTGCAGCCATGTGGACTCCACACAATGGATTAATTGACTGAATCTAGACTCATTCTGATCTGAACCTGGTTTCATCATAGAATAGACACTCTGGACCCTGGCCCTGTTTCTAGTTCTACTGAACCCACAGCTGCACCTTTTCCAGGACTGGGTTAAGAGAACAGGATGTTTTAACCACACGAATATAACTCCACCTCAATGAAGACCATTATTCTCCTGTGCAAGTTTTAGAAAACTCATTTTCTGATTATTTCACAAGAGCCACCCCACTCCCACGAGTGTCAAGAAATCAGGCCCACTCATCCTTTCAGCAACAATATCATACTACTAATTCTGCAAGCCAAATTTATGAATTTCAAACAAAACTTACCAAAATCTACAAGTTTAACTCCACCTTCGGTAGTCAACAGGATGTTATTTCCTTTTACATCACGATGGATAGTTTTGTTGTTATGCAAATGTTGAAGACCCTAGAAGGTAGAAAACATTTCTTCTTAAAGAAAGTATCAAAAAACCATTTTTCCAATGGATGCATTTGTGCCAAAGCCAATAGAAAACACAGTGAAAATTAACATTCAAGCATTCTTAAATGTTTAATAGTGAATCAGTTATATCAAATAATATTATTTCCACTTTGGATTATATAAAAATTCTTAAAACCAGAGCATGCCCTTAACTCTTATCAAATATTTTATTTAAAATGTGTTGATCTCAATAGAAGAAATGTTATATATATTTATTTTAAATAATGTCAAACAAAAACCTAACTCTTAGTAAAAAGTACACATTACCTACCTTCAACATAATCACAATTTCAGAAATAAACTTAGGTGATCAGAACTCAAGGTTCTGTTGATACAAGGAGGGTAGATTTCTAGTGGGAAAAAAATTAGATACGCTAAATATTGTAGATTTTTGCATATACTCTTGCATCAATAAATACTAATGTAGTAATAGTGTTCTAGAAATAGAATCCACATGTTTTATTTAACTAGAACTGCCTCATAATTAATGCACAAACTATTTAAATTGCCTTACCATTAGTGCTTCACGTAAAATATAGGCAATTATTGGCTCATTCATTCTTTTACCCCTTTTCAGAAATCCTTTCACAAGATCAGTCACTGATCCTCCGTTGCACAGCTATAAAAGAATATTTCAAGATTGGTATTAAAACGAATATGACATTTTAAATAATTGCTATAAAAGTTTTCCCCAAAACACTTTTTAATTGTCCCATTTTTTTATTTTTGTTTCAAATGATTAATTTCACCATTCTTATGGTGAAATTAAAGAAACCATAAATGGTTCTTCATAAATGAAGAAACACAGTGTACAATTACTGATTGGAACATCATTTTCATGAGTTAATTTTTAGAAGAAAATCTGAAGAAGTACTGAGCTTGATTTTTAAATTCAAGGATAAGAATCACGATTCTACAAATTACTCCCAACTTTTAGTATCTAGGCTTAAAAGTATTCTTGATTTCTGATGTTTTAATTTCTAGTGCAATAGATTCTGTAACTCTAGTACATAGATATATACTATATTATATGTGCAATAATTTTAAAACATGGCTCTTCCCTGGCAAAATTTCAGAGTGCATTGAAGTAAAAATTACAAATAATATTTTATATAGTGATATGTGAACAAGCAAAGATGCTGCACCCTTAGAACGAGTGACAAAAGTAATTTGTTTAAGAAGCAACATCCTATTAAAACATAAATCCAGCATCCCTATGGGGCCTGCACATGCTAGCCGTGCCTCTGCTGGACCCACGAATGTAAGTTGCCAGCTGTCAGCCCTGTCAGCCCTGCAGCAGATGAGAGCTCCTGGCCCCACACCAGCCCAGAGTCACTGGCCCCACAGGGCCCATCACCACCACCAGGAGCTGCCAGCCCCCACTGCCACTGCTGCCAAGAGCTACCAGCACCCCCAGGCAACCAAACTATATCTAGGATCCAGCCCCACCATGACCCAACACCTCTACACATACCATCCTGCCAACATGACCTGATGCACCTCATCTAGCCTGACATTACCAGACTGCTAAAATAGTGAGACAAAAAAAACAAAAAAACAAAAACAAAAAAACAATCCCCAAATAAAAGAAAAGTAGAAACCACCAGAAAAGAAACTAAATGAAATGGAGACAAGCAATTTGTCAGGTAAAAAATGCAAAGTCATGGTTTCTAAGGTGCTAAAACAACTTTGTGAGAACTATAAGAAACCAGTGGGAACTACATCAGTATGAAAAAAGATGTAGAAGCCATGAGTAAGACTTAATCAGGAATAAAGAATGACATAATTGAAATAAAGAATACCCTGGAAAAAATCAATAGTTGATTAGAAGAAGCTGAGGAACAAATCAGTGACTTAGAAGACAAAGTAGGAAAAACACCCAATGAGAGCAGCAATTGAAAAAAAATAATTAAAAAGCAGGAGAATTTGCCCTGGCCAGTGTAGCTTAACAGTGGGAGTGTCAGCCCACGGACTGGAGAGTCCTGCATTTGGTTCCCACTATGGGCATGTACCTCGGTTGTGGTTTGTCCCCAGCACCGGCTGCGGTAATGTGGATGATAAGCACAATATGTCTCTCTCACATTGGTGTTTCTCTCTCTCTCCCTCCCACTCTATCTGAAAAAAATATGAGAAAAACTTCACTAACATGGTGAAGGAAAAAGTCACACAAGTCTGGGAGACACAGGAATTCCCAATCAAGATGAACCCAAAAAGACCCACAACTAGATACATCATAATTAAAATGGCAAATATTAAAGACAAAGAAAGAACCTCAAAGGCAGCAAGAAAGAGACATAAAGTTACCTACAAGGGAGTTCCCATTAGTCGAGTGGTTCTCAACCTGTGGGTCATGAACCCTTTGGAGATTGAACGACCCTTTCACAGGGGTCGTCTAAGACATAACAGTAGCAAAATTACAGTTATGAAGTAGCAACAAAAATAATTTTATGGTTGGGAGTCACCACAACATGAGGAACTGCATTAAAGAGTAGCGGCATTAGGAAGGTTGAGAACCACTGCATTAGACTATCAGCTGATTTCTCAACAGAATCACTTCAGGCCAGAAGGGAGTGGCATGAAAAACACAAAGTAATAAAAGGCTAGGGACTAAATCCAAGATTCTCTATTCAGCAAGGCTATCATTCAAAATTGAAGGTGAAATGAAGATCTACGCAGACAAAAAGGGCTAAAGGAATTTATTGCCACCAAACCACCACTGCAAAAAATACTGAAGGTATTGTTGTAAAAAGAAATATATATAGAGAGAAACACAGAAATAAAGAATAAAAATGGAAAAAATAAGTACCTATCAATAATAACCTTAAATGTAAATGGCTTAAATGTTCTAACCAAAAGACATAGGATAGGGTTGGATAAGAAAACATGACCCATATATATGCTGTCTAGAAGAAACCCACCTCAAAAAAAAAGACTCCCACAGAATGAAAGTAAAGTGATGGAAACAAAATTTTCCATGCAAATGGAAATGAAAAATAAGCTGGTATAGTCATACACATATCTGACAAAATAGACTTCAAAATGAAGTTTGTAACAACAGACAATGAAGGCCACATCATAATACTAGGAATCGATCCAACAATAAGATATAACCTGGGTAAACATATATACACCCAATTTGGGAGCACCCAAATATAGAAAAAACTTCTGGGGAACTTTAAGGGAGAGATCAACAGCATTACAATTATAGTAGTGGACTTTAACACCCCACTGACATCACTGGTTAGATTTTCTATGCAAAAAATCAACAAGGAAACAGCAGACCTAAATTACACCTTAAATCAGATAGATTTAATTGACATTTACAAGACATTTCATCTTAAAGCTACAGAATGTACATCCTTTACAGGTGGACATGAAACATTCTCAAAGATAGACCACAGGTTGGACTCAGTAAACTAAGTCTGTACAAGTTCAAGAAGATTTAAATCATTATCAAGCATCTTCTCAGATCACAATGTCATGAAACTAAAAACCAGTTACAATAAAAACACTCAAAAACATTCAAACACATGAAAGTTAAATAGCATTGTATTAAACAATGGATGGGTTACCAATGAGATCAAGATAAAAATAAAAAACTTCCTGGAAACAAATGAAACGAACACATAACCCAAAATCTATGTGACACAGTGAAAGCAGTCCTGAGAGGGAAGTTCATGCCAATACAGGTCTACTACAAGAAACAAGAAAAAATTATAATAAACTATCTAATCCTACAAGTTAAAGAATTTGAAAGAGAACAAGAAGAAAATCCAGAATAAATAGAAGGAAGGAAATAATAAAGATCAGAGCAGAAATAAATGACATAGAGACTTAAAAAATATATTAAAAAAGGATAATAAAACTAAAAGCTGGTTCATTGAAAAGATAAAGAAGATTGATGAACCTTTAGCCAGACTAACCAAGAAACAAACAAATAGCACCCAAATAAATAAAATCAGAAACAAAAGAGGTGGGGTAACAACTGACACCACAGAAATGCAAATGATTGTAAGAAAATACTTTGAACAACTATATGCCAACAAGCTGGACAACCTAAAAGAAATGGAAAAATTCCTAGAAAAATATTATCTTTCAAAACTGAATCAGGAAGAATCAGGAAACCTGAATCAGCCAATAACAACTTATGGAATTGAAGCAGTAATAAATAAAATTCTCAGTAAATGAAAGCCCTGTTCAGGCCAGCTTCACAGGGGAGTTTTACCAAACATTCAAAGAAGGACTAACACTTACCCTCCTCAAACTGTTCCAAAAACTCCAAGAGGAAAGGACACTCCCAAGCCCTTGCTATGAGGCCAGCATTATCCTAATTTCAAAACCAATAAAGACACTAAAAAGAGAGAACTACAGGCTAATATTCCTGACTGTTTTCTTAATTTCTCTTTCTGATCATTCATTATTGGTGTATAAAAATGGCACCAGTTTCTGGATATTAATTTTGTATCCTACTACTTTGCCAAATTCATTCATTATTAGATCTAGTAGTTTTATGGAGTCCTTAGGGTTTTCTAAGTACAATATCATGTCATTTACAAAAAATAACACTTTTCATTTCCTCCTTTCCAATTTGGATGCCCCTTATTTTTATTTCTTGTCTCATCTCTGTGGGTAGGACCTCTAGCACTATGTTGAATAACAATGGTAAAAGCAGACATCCATGTCTTGTTCATGATCATAAGGGGAAATTTAATTTTTGTCAACTTAGTATGATGTTGGCTTTAGGTTTTCCACAAAGGACTTTTGTTATGTTGAGCTATGTTGCCTCTACTCCCATTTTGCTGAGAGATTGGACCAAATGGGTGCTGGATTTTATCGAATACTGTTTCTGTAGCTATTAATATGATTATCTAATTTTTATCTTTTATTTTGTTTATGTGATGTATCACATTTATTGATTTTCAGATATTGTACCAACCTGTGTCCCTGGAATAAATTCCACTTGGTCATGGTGTATGATCTTTTTAATGTATTAAAAGATCTGGATCCTATTTGCTTATACTTTGTTGAGGATTTTAGCATCTATGTTCATCAGGGATATTGGCCTATCATTTTATTTCTTTGTAGTGTTATCTGGTTTCAGAATTAGGATAATGCTGGCCTTGTAAAAAGAGCTTGGATGTTGCCCTTGCTGGTTTGGCTCAGCAGTCAGAGCATCAGCCTGTGGACCAGAGAGGCATGAGTTCGGTCCACGCTAAGGGCATGTACCTTGGTTGCAGTTTGTCCCCAGCCCTGGTTGGGTCATGTGGGTGGCGGCCACTCGATGTGTCTCTCTCACACCCACATTTCTCTCTCTTTCTTCCTCCCTCTCTCCCTCCTGCTCTATCTGAAGATAAATGCAAAAATGTCCTCAGGTGAGGATAAAAAAAACAAGAGCTTGGATGTCTTCCCGTCTCTTGAAATTTTTGGAATAGTTTTAGGAGGACAGATGTTAGTTCTTCTTTGAATGTTTGGTAAAATTCACCTACAAAGCCATCCAGTCCAGGTCTTCTGTTTGCTGGTAGTTTTAAGATTACTGCTTCAATTTCATTAGTTATCAGTCCATTCAGGTTTTCTGATTCCTCCTGATTCAGTTTTGGAAGATTGTATATTTCTAGTGAT